AAGAGAACTGTGCCTACCACTCTCCATAGTGTATAACAAATCACTGGCAACAGGGGAACTGCCATATATTTGGAAAGCAGCTAACGTAGTACCGATATGCAAGAAAGAGGATAGACAGGAGGCACTGAACTACAGGCCAGTGTCCCTAATCTGCATACCATGCAAGCTGATCGAGAAGATTATGCGAAAAAAACTAGTGGAGCATCTGGAGCGAAGGAACTTTGTAACACAGCATCAACATGGGTTCAGGGATGGCAGGTCCTGCCTCACAGGGTTACTTGAATTCTACGACCAGGCAACAAAAATAAGGCAAGAAAGAGAAGGGTGGGCAGACTGCATATTTTTGGATTGTCAGAAAGCCTTTGATACAATGCCACACAAGAGGCTAGTGCGAAAGTTGGAGATGCAGGCTGGAGTGAAAGGGAAGGTACTCCGGTGGATAGAGGAATACCTAAGCAACAGGAGACAACGAGTCTGTGTGAGGGGTGAGGTCTCAGATTGGCAAGACGTTACAAGTGGAGTCCCGCAGGGGTCAGTCCTTGGACCTATACTGTTTCTGGTATATGTAAATGATTTCCCAGAGGGTATAGATTCGTTCCTCTCAATGTTTGCCGACGATGCAAAAATTATGAGGAGGATTGGAACAGAGGATGATAGTAGGAGGCTACAAGATGACCTAGATAGACTGAGTGAATGGTCCAACAAATGGCTGTTGAAGTTCAACCCGAGTAAATGCAAAGTAATGAAACTAGGCAGTGGAAACAGAAGGCCAGACACTGGATACAGAATAGGAGATGAAGTACTTAATGAAACAGACAGAGAGAAAGATCTAGGAGTTGATATCACACCAAACCTGTCTCCTGAAGCCCACATAAAGAGAATAACGTCTGCGGCATATGCGAGGCTGGCTAATATCAGAACGGCGTTCAGGAACCTGTGTAAGGAATCATTCAGAATCTTGTACACCACATATGTAAGACCAATCCTGGAGTATGCGGCCCCAGTATGGAGCCCGTACCTTGTCAAGCACAAGACGAAGCTGGAAAAAGTCCAAAGGTATGTTACTAGACTGGTCCCAGAACTAAGAGGCATGAGTTAAGAGGAAAGGCTGCGGGAAATGCACCTTACGACACTGGAAGACAGAAGAGTAAGGGGGGACATGATCACAACCTACAAAATCCTCAGGGGAATCGACCGGGTAAACAAGGATGAACTATTCAACACTGGAGGGACGCGAACAAGAGGACACAGGTGGAAACTGAGTACCCAAATGAGCCACAGAGACATTAGAAAGAACTTTTTCAGTGTCAGAGTAGTTAGTAAATGGAATGCACTAGGAAGTGATGTGGTGGAGGCTCACTCCATACACAGTTTGAAATGTAGATATGATAGAGCCCAGTAGGCTCAGGAATCTGTACACCAGTTGATTGACGGTTGAGAAGCGGGACCAAAGAGCCAAAGTTCAACCCCCGCAAGCACAATTAGGTGAGTACAATTAGGTGAGTACACACACACACACACACTGTTATTTGTGATAACAGATTGGTTAGATAGGCGGGGTCAAAGAGCTAGTAGCTCGATTCTGTAGACACAAATAGTAAATTGCATATGGGGGCGGCTGAGTGGACAGAGTTCGGGGGTCATAGTCCTAAGGACATAGATTCGATTCCCGACCAAGGCAAAAACAAATGAGCTGAGTTTCTTTGCACCTGGTGCACCTTTCCACATAGCAGTAAATAGGTACTTGTGAGTTAGACAGCTGTTACGGGCTGCATCCTGGGGATAAGTGTGTTTGTGTGTGTGTGTCAGAGAGAAATAATGTTAGATATGTAATGTAGTAAATATATAATAAAAGAAAACTGGTTGAGAGTTAGTTCGTTAGACAATTATCTTTTAGAAAGGCGGGGTCAAGAGTTAACAGCTCGGTCCAGCAAGTCCAAATAGCAAATACACTTATGCAAGTAGGTGAGTACACATCTCTGCAGAGCACTAAAGAATAATAATGATAAGACAAGTAAAACATATAGTGAAGATTAGGTATGTAAACAAACACAAGACTAACTTTTCAGGAGAAAACTGGATAGTTTTCTTCAAGAAGTGCCGGACCAAGCGGTCTGTGATGGATACGTGGACCTGCGGGCCGCTCTAAGCAACAGTCTGTTGGACCTAGCTCTCACAATTCAAGCCTGGCCTCGAACCTGGATTGGGAAGTAGAAGAACTCCCGTCCAGTTACAATCCAGGTACCAACACAGCTTTAGGGAAGGAAAACCATGTCAAACAAACCTCAAGAACTAAGATTAAGAAACAATAATAAGACAAAACAGAAGGTTCAACACATAGCTTTTTTGGAGACTGCCACTTTTTCTCTTTTACACATGCTTAAATGAGATAATATTATGGTCAGTAGTAATGTATCATAGGAAATTATAGCCGATCATTTAATGTAGCAACGTCAAGAAGTGATGGAAACCGCTGTCAAGGAATTAGAGAGGAAGCAGACAGTGCTCATTAATTTCTTGGGAAAACGAAAAAAAGCTATTGATGCATTAACGACAAACACTTCAGTGGAGAAAAGTAGAAGAAATTCTGATTTTTTTTTCATTCTCGCTTGACAATAAATGAAATTTAGTTCATCTACTTTATAGTATCTTTAATACAAGGAAAAGAGGAAGACCTTTTCTGAGTCAATTTTCCAAAGTAAAAGCAACAGATTATGTGAGTGGAAAAAGTATATGTTAAATGATACTTGTAAATAATACAACGTGTTCACTGAGAAATTCTCGTCACAAATTAAGCAACAATGACCTCAAGATAGATGCATGAAGGTACAAAGGATTCTCAAAGGAATAAGTAAGCAATGATTGCAGATCATCATCTCTGAACAGATGCCTGTGTCCCTACCTTCCGCCACCTCACCAACCCTGATCATAGTCTTGGACTATACTGTACTTGCTGTTCGGTCAGTAAACAGCTGTTGTGACTTTAATTAACCCCTGCACTGCGCACATGTTACATGGAACATTTCTGTGGTATGCAAAAAAAATGCTCTGATTTGTTAGTTTTTTACTTTGTTAATTAGCATCCAAGAGGCACAAAAACTCCAAATAAAAAAGTCTATCTCTTGAAGTTTGGTTGTAATGATCTTGAGAACTTGCATGTTTTTGATAGAAATGAGGTGAGGTGCCACACGGAAACAATTTTGTTCATTTATTTTCATTCTTTCTCATTATTTGTGTATTTATTTTTGTTTTAACAAATTGCGCTGATGTGTTAATGGTTGTGTTCATTATGTTTAACTTTCAAAATATTCATATGTACAGAAATAAGTGTCAAAGACATGCACTCCATGTATTTGTTTATATTAATATACATATATTTATAATTAAAACCCTAAATCATATAACTGCACATACCACACAGTTTGCCTGTATATATATACATGGTAGTCACTTATTTGCTGTTGGTAAAAGTTTAATGGCTGCTAGTGTGGCCGCCCAGCACGTCCAGACACTGGATGGTGATGTACCAGGCTTGGGCCTCATTTTCCTGCTAAGGCCTAAGAAGAAAAGTGAGCGATACAGGAGTATTTGTTGTTGTTAATGAGGGATGGTTACTGGAGGCCTGAGGAAGCTAATGGGATCCTCATGTATGCGTGGGAGTTTAACAATTTTTGATAGGCCTAAAAACAACCCTGGTTGTGGTGTGCACTATCAATGAAACAACCCTGATTATGGTGTGCAGTTTAAGTGTTAATAATCCTCCACAGGTAGATAGACCTTAATCCCCAGAACACTCGCAGTACCACTAGCCCTTACCAGCAATAGCGGGAAAATCAACCCTGCTAGCACAAGTGGGTCAGAGTTTACTATATTGTTTCTTAGTGAAAACGTTTCATCGACAAATTTATACTCATTTGGACATGTATGTTGTATTTAAGCAGCAGTGTCGTGTTTATACAGGTGTGATGAACCTCAATAACATTCCAGCATAAGACCGAAGAGGGACCTTCAAGAGGCTGCAAATGAATTTTGCAAATTAGCAAGCATAGTTCTGTGATCAGTTCACTCAAATGGAGAAGCTGTATATGGATCATTTACCGGTAATGATTACAGATTCCTCAAGCGAACGAATCATCTAAAAAAAAAACTGGAACATATTGAAAACTGAAAATGATTAAGGAAGAACTAATAAGTTAATCTTTGATGAAGACTGAGAATAAATTATTGCAAAAATTGAGTGTTTTGGACGTTGTGGAATCTTTCTTTAATGAGAATCATAAAAGTTGTCTTTTAATCAGAAGCATTAAATTTAATTTGGTTTCGTGTTTATCTTAAGGGCAATCATCGTCTGAAGGGCCCCACTGTAGCCACAATAGATACTCTTGGTGTATACATACCTGTTTTGTTCAATATATTTGACTAATTATGATTATTTTTAACGGACACTACTGAGTTATAGTTAACAAATGTTAAAGTGAATATTTAACTTAGAGTTTCTTGATTTATTAAATTAAGTATATAATAAAAAAAATTATTTTATGTAAATAATAAATATAAACACTCAGTAATTTATGTAACACATTACTGAGTTTTATTAAATGAAGTTTGGTAGCCTTCAGAGCCCATTAAGTCTGCAAGCGCTAGACCTTATGAGCTCAACTTACCTTAGTTATTATTTTAAGGTTAACTAACAAATGACTTTATAGCTTTATCCACTTAAAGTTAACTAACAAATGACTTAATAGCTTAGGTCAAAAGACATGGGGGTTTAGGTTAACCAACAGTGTCATTTTGATGAGACACTGTCCTCTACGTTAATTTACAATAATATTTAGGTTAACTAATGGAGGTCAATGGGTTAATTAGTGAAGGGCTGGTCTAGTTAACTCCTTAAATTATACTGGCTCATTCTGTTATAAAACAACTCTAGCTCCATAATAAAACAAGTTTTTCTAGAATAATTGATACCTGGCTCTATTATCTGGATTACCTTACTTAAGCCTTTGTTTCATATGGCTGTATTTCTGAATAAATTATTGTTTCTTTATCTCTCAGGTTGTTGAAGGGTCAGATCCACTTAAGGAAGCACAGTCAATGATAAACATGCCCTCAAATTTGATCGATGGACCTCTGTGGCGCGTTCGACTTCTATCATCTACCCCTGAAGCCTATCCTCCTCGCCCAGAGATAAACGAAAAATTTCCATATCGGAACACAGTGATAATTCTGTGCCAACATGCAGCTATTGATGGTGTTGATCTGATGATGATTCTTGTTTGGTTCCACAAGATAATTGATGATATGATCAGCGGAAAGCCCATTGATGATTCGCAATTTGGTCAAATTGCAGACCACAGTCAGACATCAGAAATTACCCAACAAATAAAATCGGCTCTTGAAAATGATCCTGAGCGGTTAAGTTCATTACTTAAACTTAAAAAAGAGGAGCCGGCCACGTCTGTCCTCATTGAAGCTTTGGGAGCCCCAGAACCCTCTCAGACAGAGACAAAATTCCTGGAAAATGTTTTTCTGAATATCTCGGACGTTGATAAGTTTCATGCCAAGTGTCAGTCTGAAAATATATCGTTCAATGCTGGATTTACGAGTGTAATTAACACAGCTCTTGTTGAGGTAGTAAGGGAGGCCGGCTTGACACGAGACGCCTACAATATTAGGAGTCGTGTTCCCATTGATATGCGTCGTTACATGAAAGGTTACTCCAAGTCCTTCCCTATGGGCTTCCATAATGCTCCAATGTATCAGAACATTTCAACACCTTACAATGTTAAAGATCATTTCTGGATGTATGCAAAGCAGTATGATGTTCAATTTCAGAACAACTTGAAGAACAAATTATTTATTGAAAATATGGTCATTGATAGAATGCTTCGGCCAGCTGATTTTTCTCCTGAGAAATCCTTACTAAATCCACAACCTATTACGATTGACTATTTGTTTACAAATATGTTTACACCTCTTTTAAGAACATACGGAGTAGGTAAACATGTTCAGTTAACAGATCTTAAAAGTTATGCAAATATTCATGATCTTGACGTTACATTCATGTGCGTCTTACTCAAAATATGTGATGAGGTCCGATTTGATCTCTGGTACTCATCACGGGGATTAACAGAAAATACAGCACAAAACATTGTTGACAAAACTGTTTCAATCATCAGTGAAATTTGTGAAAATATATAATGTTTAGATGTCAGTTCAAGGAATTTCTTCATATGCAAGAAATCATAGATGTCAAGACTGGGTCACTTTGAGGCTCAAATAGCCAAATTACATTTCAATATTTACTGTAACATTTCAACGTAAATGTACTTAGTTATGTGTAATGTAAAAATGGCTCCAGCAAGTCAGTGATAGATAGTAAGTGCTCTCAAAACATAAAGCCTCATTATCCAGCCAATCCACCTCTTTTGGTGAGTACTAATAGTAACGATGAGGACACTGGTTATGGTACAACGAAATTAGAGAGTAGAAATCTGAACTAACGAGTTGGACAAACCGGATAATTATTTTTTTACTTGTGTTACTTTGATACACACCCTCATGTTGATGATTAGTGGGCATCTGGGGGTTCCAAGAATTATACTCATGGCTTCATTTCTAATTTCCTCTAAAGCTTTCATTCTATTGCTAGAGAGACTCATAAGGTGCAGGGCACTGTAGTCGGATAGTGACATAATGGACATCATGTAGAACATTCTAGCATTTTTTACACTGATAGAGGTGACGATCATTAAGTTTTGCTTTAAATTCATTTCAATTTTAATTTTGATGACCAAATACACAAAATATCATTACCATAACTAAACCAAGGAATAATTCTGAGTGTAATTTTTCAAATAAATTTCTTTAAAAATTTCATATACAAATTTGAAAGAAATAGAGGTAGTAGATTTCCCCGTGCCATTCCAAAAGTCTGTAGATAATAGTCATTATTAAAAGTATATATACTTTCTTTTATACATAGCTTTAGGATAGTAACAATAATATCAGAAGGCAGGTTCTTCTGATATACATCGTTCATTAATTCATGAGCAAGGTAATGTCGAAAAACATCAACATGAATTTTAGTAAATTAAGAACATGCATCAAAAGCAATTAATTTATATTCAGAAATGATTGAAACATTCTTTAATTTGTTAAAGATCATTTAACTGAAGATTAACTAAATCCACCGAACTAGTCAAATGCGAACTAGAAATAATACCAAACAGCGAGGACAAAATTTTGGTGAGCCACTTAGAAAGCTCTAAGGTAATGGGTCCCACAAAACTTATAATAGGCCTTATAGTATAATTAGGCTTATGAGTTTTGACCAAGCACTAAAGATACATCAAGGAAGTAGATGAGGTTGTAAACTGGTTAAACTGGTTCGTTATGATCATTAGGATTTCTTATTTTTACATATGTACATTTATTGTATAATTGAGATCTGGAACAAAACAAAAATTGTGGGGGGGGGGAAGGAGATAATTTGTGTACTGGAGTTGTATTTTTTCCTGTAGACTCTCTCTTTATCATGAGGGTCAATATGGTTAGCGGTATTTGTGAGAACTGTCTTTTATCTTATCGATTTTATTTATGATTCTTCAAACGATTTTTGCACATATATTGCCAAAATAATTTCTTTCTCGTATTAGAAATGTAATAAGATTGATTTCAGTTATGATGCTGAAACTCCCAACCATATGTTAAAGATTTGAGCAGCTCACTACTACCTTCTGTGTAAGGGTGATGAGAGATCCAACATCACCCTTACTACTTGTCTAGTAGTAAACAGTAGTCAGAGAAAAACTGACTAGTGCTGTTTGTTGGCGGTAAAGTGTTGCTAACGCACCAGCGAGCAACCTATATTCAAGCTGGTTAAGTGTTGCCAATCTAATTAAACTTAATATTTCTATTGTATGCAACGTATTAGCCAATGATATTCCACTATATCTGTACCCTGAAATACAGGTGTCTTATTCGCCGATCAGCAAAAAGAGTAAGGAAGACCCAGCACTCCTGAAAGCAACAAAACTTGAAACCATTGATTCCTTTATATATAACTTACAGCCTCACGAACTATATGATTACGCTGATGGGTCTCTTCTTCTTCTTCTTGATGGTAGGTGCAGCTTGCATGAAGGGTTTATCCTGCACGCGCACAAATGTTGAGAAACGCACTAATGGTGAGAATGACTAAGTTTCAAGTGTTATTGTGTTGTGGTGTAGATAGAGGAGACATTACTTTTCCATTTCATTACAAAATCTTGGGTGATGGTATCTTTGAAGGCTCCTTTACGTGTACCGTGAGGAATTGGATGATGGGTAATGTAAGGGGTGTTGTGCATCGCTTTGGCTAGTTGGTCTACAAGTTCATTATAGAGTAAACCACAATGTGCTGGCACCTATTGGATAGAGATGTCATAACCGTTCAATCGATGTTCATAAAAAAAGTTGAAAGCATGGGTAAACAAACTTTTTGCACGTTATGAAAGAGTACGTAATTATTTGAATCTTACTCTTGGAGTCACTACAGATTGTATATATCCCAACTGGTAATGTTGTGATTATTTAGAGAGTTTGGTATAAGCATAAAATTCAGCTGTGAAAATTGAAAGTTGGTTTGGTAACCGCCATCCCTGCTTGAGATAGTATTGTGGGATCCATACAGCGCTAGTGACCGAGGGTACGTTATTCATGAGGATGCGAGGTCCATCTGTGTAAATCGCTGTGGTATTTGGGTAGCAATTTTTAATTGTTGACACAAAGACTGAGGCTATGGCTGAGATTGGTGCAGACTTTGGAATGTTGTCTTCCAGTAGTATGAATGTTTTAGGAGTTGCATAAAGTCAAGGTGGAATAAGAGGGGCAGTAAGCTGGGTTTCAGAGTTTTGGAATAAAGTGAGGTTTATATTGAGGTTATATATAGCCCGTGTGAGAAAAGGTTGTGAGCGATTGGTGGGGGGGGGGGGGTATGTGGGCTGACTGTCGGGTAATTTTTTTTATCTGTTTGTGTGTGTCTGGTGAGCAATGATACAGAGTGACGGATAGTTGACACACATTATGTCTCGTCTGGTGGCTAAGCTTGTTTTCCCTTGAAGGGCCCCAGAATTTGCAACTAAAACTTGCTAGTAACGCACTGAAGAACAGTAGAGGAGTAATTTTCTGTGATTCAAAGTCAGTTTTTCAGGCCACTAGAAGCCCAACAGGCAAAACAGATACTAGGAATGTTGTAACATCCATTATAAACAACGTTATTAATGCACAGAGCAAGAGTGTCAGTCTGCTTTGTATAGATACCATCTCACATAGGTGTTGTCCAGCAAGATGAAACACACAAGGCAGCTAAAATTGCATGCGATAAGCCTGAAATTGAGTTGGATATGGGCATTCCAATCACTGCCGTAAAAGCCGCAATATTTCATGTAATTAGGGATGATAGAAGAGCAGTTACTGACACTCAAAGGCCAGAAAGCACGTGTGTAGAGAGCTATGACATGTTTAGAACCGATATTTATATATACGGGCAGCACAAAACATCCACTAAACAGTGTGACATTATAATTGCCAGAATTAGGCTGGTATATCGATATCTATGGCAGGTGGCTGCACGTAATGAATCTCCCAATGGAGAACGTTACAATTGTAAACTATGTGAACAATGCTAGGACGTACTCTCCAAAATTATATCTGTCATTGCCCTGTTATCAGTGATTTCAGACAAAATAGTATGAGGTACTTTGAACTCTCTAATTACTTCATACACTCTAGAATATTGGAAGATATTTTTGTGCTGTATCCAGATTTTGCTAGTGGAGACTAATAGATCAGCCTTATATTTCATGTTCTCTCCGGATTCCATGTATGACTAACAATCCAGGAAGATGGGAAATTTAATTTGAGCGCTATACCTATTTTTTTATCTATACTGTGTAATAATTCATACAGAATAGGGTAGCAGCACATTGATGTATATACCTAAGTTTGTTAATAATAATTATAAAAAGTAACTCACAATATTAGAGAACAGTGTTCTCGCATTTTGTTCTCTCCTGATTCCATGTGTGACTAACCATCCTGAGAGATGGGGACATTATTTGAACTTATAGCTACTTTTTATAGACACGGTGTAATCTTTCATATAGAATAGGTTAGCAGCACATTGTTGTATGCACAAAAGCTTGTTAATAATAATAATAATAATAATAATGATACAAAAGTGACCCAAAATATTAAGAATTGTGTGCTCGCATTTCATGTTCTCTCCTGATTCCGTGTATGACTAACCATCCTGAGAGATGGGGATTTTATATGAACTTATAGCTAGTGTTAGATATATTCTGTGTAATCTTTTATATAGAATAGGGTAGCAGCACAATGCTGTGCAAACCTAAGTTTGTTAATAATAAAAAAAACTCAATCAAAATTACGATAGACTTAAATTGATATTTCAGTCAAATTATACCGAACATACTGAAGATAGTCCCACCATACACAATATATCAAAGTCAGCATGGCGAACATTTTTACTTATTTAAAAACGTTGTCAAGGCCTAAAAAAATTGAATTACATGTGGTGTTTTATTATTAAAATACAATTGGAAACGTATTACTTAAAAACAGTCCTCGTAGTGATAACTATAATTTACAAAATACACTGTAAAGTTTTTAATACATGTTTCTGTAATTAACTTTAATGTAAGATTTCTAAGCCAACACTTTGATGATGTTAGTGCCTTAAATCAAACATTTGCAATCCCTCGTGGTGTTGTGGTAAGACACTCACCTGGCGTTTCTCGAGCGCTTTGTCCTGGGTTCGTATCCTGGCCGGGGAAGGATTTACTTGGCGTCAATCCTTAACTGTAGCCTCTGTTTAACTCAACAGTAAAATGGGTATTTGGTTGTAAAACGATTTTTCGCGGGGTCGAATTCCAGGGAACATAGGATTAAGGACTTGCCGAAACACTATGCGTACTCGTGGCTGTACAAGAATGTAAGAACTCTTGTATATATATAAATAAATAAAAAAAAATCAGAGAGGTGTTGGTACTGCTCTTTATTACCACCAGGAACTGACATGCTTAAAAGTAATTAGAACTAGAGACCCCTGTGGCGAGTATATCTTTGCCCATTTTAGAATCAAGGGTGCTGAGGCAGACCTGACTGGGAGCAGTTTACAAAATTACTAACACTGATTTTGCTGAATTCGGCTCTAACCTTAGAAATCTAATACTAACAAACAAACTTAACAAAAACCAACTAATAATTTTAGGGCAATCTTAATATTGACCTCTGGAAGCCTGATAACCTTCAAGTTGCTAGTTTCCCCAACTGAATGAATTCCTGCTTGCTCATACCCTTCATCACTAATCTACTGGAATTGCTGATATGAATGCTCCCACTCTGGACTACATCTGGACTAACATAACCTCTCCTCTTAATTCAGGGATAATCAGTGACAGGACCACAGACCATTACCCTACATTTCTTCTCACCAACATTAATAAACCACCCCTAAATACAATTAAGATAAGCTTTAGGCTACACAATGAAACTTCTATAGGCAACTTTATTGCTGTGGGTGCTAATATCAACTGGGAGACTGAATTAGGTAACATCAACCTATGAGTGCAAACATTTCTTCAAAAACTCTCAGCCTCTATAATACCTGCTGTCCAATGATAACAAAACAAGTCTCAACTAAAAGGCTTACTAAGGGTATACTTAAACTTATTAATAAAAAACATGACCATGAGAAAAAGTATAGGCTAGGGGTAATCTCCAAAGTAGTTTTAAGAAGATACTCATCAATACTGTCCAAAATAGTTAGGAGAGCCAAAATAAAATAATATGAAAATAAAATGAACCAAATTGGGGGCAACATTAAGAAAACATAGAGCACTATTTCCCAAATATTAGGAATCAAAGAAGATCTTGAATAAGAAACTAATACTCCTTTCCAATGACGATGGTATATTAATTCATCTTTCAGCCTCTGATGCTGCTATTAAGTTTAATAGTTTCTTCTCATCCATTGGTACATCCCATGCAAATGATATCTCATCCTCCCTAACTAATTTTAAGGACTACCTTACAGGAAAATATCCAGAGTCTCTGTACCTAGCTCTTGCTAATTCCTCTGATGTTAATGAGATGATCCATTCTCTTGGAACAAAATCAAGTGCCCTTGCTTAGATACCAACTCTAATTTACAAAAAAAATCTAGATTTCTAGTTCCAGACACTGCATTACTCGACAAAAAATCACTTGAATTCCTAACCTTCCCAGATGTTCTAAAAAAAGTGAGAGTAACCCCAGTAAGTAAATGTGGTGATCTCACTGATGTCAACAATTTCAGACCTATATTAATTCTGCCAACCTTGAAAAAAATATTTGAAAAGCTAATCTACAAAGCAGCTTTACTTTTATGTTGCAAAACACAATGTACTTAGCTCTTTCCAATATGGCTTCAGATCCAAAAAGCCCTAATGATGCACTTATTAGTATGATTAACTTGATACATGCAGATCTTGATAAAAATGAGTTCCATGTTGGGATATTTGTTGATCTACTTAAGGCTTTTGACACTGTCAACCACCACAAACTTCTTCTTAAATTACATCATTATGGAGTCAGAGGTCACTCCTTTCAATACTTTCGGTCTTACCTTAATGACTGGCCCTAGTATGCTTCTGTGAATGATTCCATTTTTCCCACCCTACCCATCAACATTGGCGTTCCACAGGGCAGCATACTTGGCCCTCTCTTCTTTCTCATTTATATTAATGACCTTCCAAATGCCTCAACACCTCAAGCAATTTTATTTGCTGATGACACAACCTTCATTTTCTCAAGGACTAACTCTCTTACTCTGAATGATACAGTGAATACTGAACTAAATAAAGTCCATCTGTGGCTAACTGCTAACAAACTCAACCTTGACATTTACAAAACCTTCTATATTTTGTTTGGCTATAAATCCTCAGATCAAATTAATCTAACAATTTACAATATCCAAATTAGTAACAAATTAGATGGTAAATTCCTTGGCATTCTCTTCGATAACAAGCTTAATTTCTTTGGCCCACATTCAGCATATAAGTAATGGTTTTAGAGCCTGTAGCAGCCACCAAATGTACCCAGTAATTATTGGGTGAAAGTGAGATAGTGATGGGTATTGAGGTCATCGGAGGCGGGGGTGCGGGTAGGTGCCAGCAATTGTACCCAGTAATTGTGA